TCTCACACCTGAGCTTCTGCCCAGTGTCATATATATGCATGTCCACTTTACACACACACACACACAAATAACATTGGTTATTTGGGCTTTGTATTCTACAGTCACTCATACTATCCATGTAATAAGGGATGATCACACTTATTGAATTTTCCTGTGACCCACTGACCATTCATGAGTGCACACTTACTTCCTACAATAAAGTTTTCTGGCCACCAGTTGCTATTCCTTTTTTACAGGTGGGAAAGCACTGAAGCTTTGCTACAATGAGTGGCCTCTCAATAGATGTAGGTTTCTTCCATGGCAAGACCTGGTTTTAATCCGTAGTCTGCTAACTTTATCAGACTCTGCTTCCTTGGAATAAGGAAAAGTTTAGTAAAATCATTTTTAGGAGACTGTGTTCATTTTATTGCTTAAGGCATTTAAGCTAAGTAGATTCCCCAAAGCACTCAGCAGATGTCTCAAATTAAAATGATGTTTCAAAAAGATAGGCTACAACAAACTTAATTCAATTGACTCATAAATTTTAGGGGTTGCAATATTTTTCTTCCTATTCCACTTGAGACTTTTAGCTAGCAGAACACTACCAACCCTTGGGCAGAACAAACAATGCTGAATTAAAACACATTGATCTGAATCAGTGGGCTTACTGTTGAGTCTTGGCCAAAGCGGTAGAATGTCATCCTCTAAACATTACAGGAAGAAATAAAAATTCTGAAGAAAAGAAATATAAAATCAAATTACACAATCATTTTTTTAAATTATAGAATGGAAAAAATCAAGTCTTCAATGTCAATCACTCTAGCTTTCAAGCTGTCATTCTGAGGTATCACTCTCCCACATCATCAGGAAGAGAACAGATTTGATTATAATGTAAGCTCATCCCTGATGCTCAGGAGTACGTCTTAAATGGCAATAGCACTTCAGTGTCTCTGTCCAAATGTGAGGATGCCTCATGGCTGCTCCATCTTTTCTTGCATCACTGTAACCATGCTGGGAGGAGGAGGAGCACAGAGATCCTATTTTCATTTTTTAATGAAAAACATCTTCACACCACAGCAGAGTGAAAATCAGTCACCCAGTTCTCCTTTTGGAATCACAGAGATGAGGCCTGTGACTGGGGCGTGGCAAGGGTAAATGCAAAAAAAAAAAAATTGTATTTATAGAAAAGTCCTAGGAAAATAAAAGTAGCTGGTGGTGCACATGGTGGTCCAGGCCTGAGACGTCAGCGGGAATGCTGCCTCTGAAGGCATAGGCACGGGACTCTGAGCTACAATGTGAGTTAGAGGCTAACCTGAGCTACTTAGAAAGATCCTGCCTCAAAGAAAAAAAAAAAACAGAGATAAAAATGAGTGATGTAAAATAGAGATCAAAACTTTTACACTTTTATTTATTTGAAAGTTTTACATCCACTTACATTCAGGTAAAAATCGCTTTAGTAGTGTTTAAGGAAGTCTTCATTTGAACTCGCCAAGCTGTTGGCTAAGTAAATAATAAATTCTGTTCAGGAATATCAGGCACTTAGAGAGCCTTCAAGACAAAAAGTAAATGGGAGATTGAATTAAGCTGTTAGGACTTAAAAGATAACTTTTACAGACACCTGTTTCCAAATTCCTTGCTACCCTTCTCATTTCGGGCATGCCGAAATCTGCATGGCTGGCAATCATCATAGCCTTTCCTAGAGATCTTTGATCAAAACTGCCATAAATTTGAACTACATCTCACATGTATAAATTTTGCACAGCAGGACTATTTGTATTTAGACTTCTTTGTAGAATTTTTCATTCCCCTATTACTCTTCTATTGTGAAGTTATTAGGAATTTCAAATGAGAAGTAATTGCTGCACATGTACATGTGCTTGTGTGTGAGAGAGAACTCTGTAATCTAGGACTGGGCACGTGTGGAGACATCGTTAGATGTCTACAAAACAATAGTTGAAGCTTTCTGAGTATATATTTGTGTGAGCATGGCAGTTTGCAGTTAATACATAGTGTCTCTGAGTAACCCTAACATGTAATCATTATCTTGGAAAGAAAAGATCTGAAAGAAGGAAAAAAAAAACCTATTTGTATTTGGGAAATTTATTTCCTTGCAGTTTTCTTTGTTTGTTTGTTTGATATTTTTTAGAAGCATTTGGATACATTCCAAAGAATTTTCACTGTGCATTAAATCACAAAATATAAGTTTTAAAAGGAGAATATTCAATGTTTAATTTCACGCTCACACACACACAAGAAACTGAAATTTGGTTCAATTCAAATAATCACAATAATTTCATTATGAATCTGTAATATTCCCCAAAGGAGGCTAAGTGGCAAATTTGAATCATGGTACATACTTTATATCAAACAGAAGGCTGAGATGGGGCAGTGGATGGCACATACCTTTAATCCCAGCAGTCGGGGAGCAGAGGCACGTGGATCTCTGTGAGTTTGAGACCAGCCTGGTCTATAAGAGCTAGTTCCAAGACTGCTAGGGCTTTTACACAGAGAAATCCTGTATTGTAAAACCAAAACACAAAATCACGGGCTGAAAATAGAAGCATCTTGATAAATTACAAAACTATTTTTCAAAAAAGTTTGTAAATTTTTATGCAAGTATAAATGTAATTTAAATTTCTCTCTAGATCACTAAAAGTTAATATTTGTGACATGTCAATCAATGTAATAAATAAATAAAACCTTGTATCAATAATGTTTCAATTGATCAATGGCCTTTCCAGATTTAATAAATTATAGAATTTATATGTTCACACTGAAATTTAAAATTACAGGCATTACATATATATATATATATCTTTTATCTAATTAAAATATTTATATTAACTCTTTAATTAAAACACCTGCTTTATATCATGAAATTAGCTATTGAGAAATATGCATAATAAAACAAAATGTTCATTTGAGATTGATAAGGCATAAAAGAAGAAGTACACATTCATAGAAATAAAATATTTTCCTTTTTGAGTTAGTGATATCATTAGTGTAGAATCTCTATCAGGTTTTGATAGTTACCCAATATTTTACAACCCTCTGTTATCAGATTGTATGTGAACGTTTGTGAAATATAAACAGTATGTCATAAATGTTTAAGATGACATTTGCATACTTCCTTCTTTCACTCAATAAATATTTTTGTTGCCTAAGAGATATTGCTCCAAAACTAATTTTATGGAAATAAAATCAGTTTTCTTATATAATCTAGTTATTACATAAATTTTATGAAGCATTTGAAAAATATGTTTCATCCCAATTTCATGATCTCATTTATAATATAATGCAAGTAATACATTAAAATATAGAAATAGGCATTTTGTGTTCTTGTTATTAATCTTGCTTCACTAGAAAATAGCTAGGACACCATGAAACTGAATACCATTTAAATATTGGGAATACTCAAGTATTTCCTAAAACCTATGGCTTATTAACTATTTTTTTAAATGATCTCTGAATCAAGGTGGAAGTGATGAGAACTGGTGAAGCAAATACTTCTTCAGAAGAAAGAAGAGATTTTCAGGAAACCAAGATTCAATGTTTGGACACTCAAGAATCTGAAGGCATGAGCCAGAAGGCTCAATCTCAGTGTTAAAAGCTATAAAGTGATGAAACTAAAGAGAGTAGAAAATACTTGAGTAAATGTCATGAGAGAGATGGAATGACACAGGTTTTCAATATGATATGAAGTGGTGGGGGAAAAATTAGACACCTTGGGAAATTTCTAACCAGGATCAGAACTGTAGACTTTTAGTGTGATGCACATCAATGAATAAAGCCACAAAAGAAGGGCATCAAAGAGGAATGATAGCTAGGGTGCTAGTGTGTGTTTGTGTGTCTGAGTGTGTGTGTGTGTGTGTGTGTGTGTGTGTGTGTGTGTGTGTGTGTGCTGAGACAGAGAGATTATTATCTATCCAATAATGTCAAAAGCACCAATCAGGAGGTTCAGTCTCCTTGCTCTCCTTTGAGTTATTCAAACAGGAGGCATTTGGCAGATCCTGGAGGAGCATGAAATCTGTCAGATGACTGTTAGGTTTAGGGGAAACAAAATAAACTTGAAAATAAACATTCCTACTATTTGAACCAAACTGTTGTTTGTGGAGGAAGCAATGCAGCTGTGCAGTGACATAGGCAAAAACTATTGTAAGACAGGAAGGAGAAAGAGAAAGGCATGTACTCAAAGGTTACCTGAAAATCCAAATTTGAGTAATAGAGTGGGAAGGAGCTGGAATTAACTACCCAGAATGATATAGCTACTAAGGAAAGCACCCCAACCTCTTTCCTCTCTCTCTCAGTCTCTCTCTCTCTCTTTCTCTTTCTCGTCTATCTATCTATCTATCTATCTATCTATCTATCTATCTATCTATCTATCTACCTTTGAATGAAAGCTCTGTCCATACTCCCTTGCTTTCTAACCTTAGGCTTTTTATAGAAGATTTTATTGAGTTGTTTCTTTTTCCCAATTGTGTGCTCTATCTTTGAGCCATAGATCTCTTGGGCTGCTCTTGATCTATCAGAAACCATGATCTTATGTGGAAAGGCAGATGTGGTTGGTCACCTGTGTGTAATGCCAGTGTTAGAAGGGAGTAGAGATAGGAAACCCGTGGAGCTTGTTGACTACCATCTTAAATCTAGGTTCAGTGGGAGAGCTTTCCTTAAGAAAAGGGAAAGTTACTAAACAGGAAACTGGACACTCTTTGCTGGATTCCATGGTTACTTCATGGGCTCTTGTTCCTGCATACACACATGTACACACACACACACACACACACACACACCAAACACACACACAGATAAGCACATATACATACATGAATGTACACATTCACACAGAAACATTTTTAAAGAATGTTTGTTATATATTAGTATATTTCAATATTAAAAAAACTTATTAATTTTTCTTTTACTTTTCATTTTAAATACCAGTCCCAGTTCCTTATCCCCCCCCCCATTCTTACATTTCTATCCCTCATCCACTCCTAAAGTTGCCAGAATAAGGAATCAATTGAATTGATGATGGGGCCAGTTGATACTCATCTATATTTTTTGCACTGGGGATATAGAAGAGATGATTATGAGTTCAAATCCAACCTGGGCTACTTCAGGCCTTTACTTTAAAAAACAAGAAACAAAATAACAAAAAGAAAGTAAAATAAATTGAATTTAGAAAAATATTTTATTGTTTGATATGTGTGTGTGCGTGCGTGTGTGTGCGCGTGTGTGTGTGTGTGTGTAGAGAGAGAGAGAAGGAAAAACAACATAGTCACGGATAGCCGTGCGAACTACATATAAAATCTGAAAACTTAGTTGTTACTGGTATTTGTCAGATAAGCTGCAGAATGTATAATTACACTGTAGCTAGCTTAAGAAGGAATATTAAAGATAATTCCTAAGGAAAAAAAGTTCCTCATAGATATTTCTAGATTTCTGTATCAAATTGGAAAAAAATGTATATTTCAAATATACATCCTAGCTTGTTATGTATCATGTAATAAACATATTGATAAAGTGCATTCATCAACATTTCATATATTAGCCCTTGATTTGTGATAGGAGCACTTAATATATACTTTCTTTCACACTGTTCAGCAGAACAGGGTAGTAATAACTGCTGACACTTTTTCATATGCTACACCTCCAGAACCTCTTCTTATAATAGAAAATTTCTACCCTATGTGGATAATACACTCTATTACCCACTGCTCCAATTGGTATTGCATCATAGGGTATCACTTTATATCATTACCATGCATCTCCTTTATTTCTGTGAGTCTCTGTAAATTCATTATATCAGTGATATCATATGCTACTCCTTGCTGTAAGTTTGGTGTATTTCACTTAGCATGATGTCTATCATATTTATTAATGTTTATTTAATATGCAAGAGTTATTGCTTTTTTATGGTAAGTAATTATTGGATGGATAGATGAATATATTTTAGTGTTTATTGAAACTCTATTTTGTCCCATAACGTGATCATTATTGATCATGCTGGAAGCACAGAAGCTCTTGGAGTTGTTGCTCCTTTAGATATAAACTCAAGAGATCACATAGGAGACAATCTTTAATACTTTGAGAAGTTTCCATATAATATTCAATAACAGCATATCAAATTAGATTGATACCAATATTACCTGACAGTTTCAATCTCTATATATCCCTTCTCTTTTAGGTTATGTAGTTGAAAGACACTTTTTCTATTTAAATATACAGACTGAAGATAAAATTACATTTCAAGTTTATGTACTTGTGACTCCTTTCTTTTAAATATGAAATAATAAAAATAGAAGAAAGACCAATTTTAGGCAAGTTTTAGAATAAGAATTAGTATAGATATATTTGAAGGAAATGCTTTCAGAACTATGCTGACAAAACTGAGACATGTAGTTTATGTAATAATTAATGTTAGTTCTTGTATGTGAGTAGTAATTCCTTAGTAGAGAAGTTTTCTGCCTGTTTTCTTTTTTAATTGTTACCATCTGATATATTGAACATAGTTTTCCATTAAAATGCTTTCTGATTTACTGTCAGCAGACAAGTTCCAATCCCTCTTATCTTTAAATAACCTCCCTAGGCAAATAATAACTATAGAGACAAAGAATCTATTTGAGAAAAATAATAACGCATAATGGAAAAGCTGTTGCCTTTGGTGGATTTTTAAATTCAATTTTCTTTTCTTGATTGAGATTGATTCTCCCATATTAGTTTTTCAGAGGTATTGGTAGAGGACAGTCGGTCATCTGTGGCTACTACATTTGGTAGTTGATAAAAAAAAATGATGAGCTGTTCTTAACAGTGGGGTGATTCCTTATTCTTTATGTTAGAAATCTGACCCCAGTTATAATCCTCATAGATGCAATGTTTGTTTTGATTAATTCCATTTTGCTTAAAAGCTGTGAATATGTATGTAGTAAATTTTAGAAAATTACTTATATTCAACCTAAGTTTTCCTGTTCCTTCTTTTTATCATTATGGCTGCTAACAGTTTTGACATTTTTGCTAAGATTTCAGTTAACACCTAAAGTTCTCTTAAATGCTGTATCAATAATATTATAAGGCAAGCACACAAACAAATTTAACAACAACTATTTTTAGAATGTCTTTATTCATGTTGCAAATGTGTTGAAAAATTGTCAAAAGTATTAAGACAGTACCCAAACTGAAATTAAAATATTTTTACCTTGACCTCTCATTTTATTTCCACCCATACCTTTATGAAGCTAAATTTACAAACTGATTTAGTGTATGGATTTATCACAAACTAAAATATATGATGATTTAAATTTTGTATTGGCATATTCATTGTAACACATTCTTTTCCCCTCCCAAATTTCTGATTTTACTTTGTGATTAAGTCATCTTTTTCTTTATATTCATCTTCCATTTTTTATTTTATATAATTTTGTATGACAATATTTTATCATCTGTTAAAACAAATAGTTCTAAGAACTTTTGTTGCAAGGAAATATTTTAACTTATTTGAATACAGACATTTTATGATTGGCACAACTTGAGAAGCAAGAATGCACCCCATGGGTAGAATCTAGGAACACTGTTAAATGTCCTGAAGCATACAAGACAGTCCCCACAGAATATAGTTTTCTAACCAAACATGTTAGCATTGCCAGAGGCAAGACAGTCTTATTGAACATGAATTGTACAGCCATTTCACCAAGCTATATTTTATATCTCAGATTTTATTGAATTCACTCTCCTTTTTTGATTAAGAAAAAACTTGATTGTCTCTCAGCTCTTTTTTTTTTACTTTGTATTTTTAGAGTTGTAATTATGACTACAATTTGAATAAAGGGCATTGTCTTTGTTATATCTTAATTAAGACCACTCCAGATCTGTAATAAAGATGCGGCTCTGCTCATTATATGTTTTCAATTCTATGTGGATAGTGAAAGAAACTTGTATTTAATTAGCTGCTCTGTGTAGTATAAAGGTGTTAATTGCTGGAAATGTGTAGAGTTTCCAAACTCTACATTTAAGGATTTAAATTACCACTACCTAAAATGTATTTTCTTGTGATAATCGGACATAGGAAATGGTTTGCAAGAGATCATTGTATGACAATTCTGAAAAGTGCTGAGCCTCTACTCTTAAAAGATTCCACATTTACCAATGACCTAGAGAGAGTAGGAGATGATGAACCATTTTATTCAAGTTAATCTGTCTTTGGAAAGAAAAGTATTTTTTTTTAATTTTTAACCAACAGATTTCCTTTTACACTTTAGAAGTATTGAGATCTTATCACATTATAAATAAACTTAGTATTGCAAACTTTCCACAAACATAAGAAGGAACACATTTGTTCTGAGCATAAGAATCATAGGCGGTTTCTGCTGGCACACAATTAAGTTCTAAGAACTTTGCTTTTTGTTTCCATGTTATTTAGTTTCTCTAAATCCTCCATTATATTCTTTTTATTAGTAGAGTGAATTTATCTCTTTTTTTATTAAAAAATTAATGCAGTCTTTTCTCATTTTATATAGGTATCCCCATTTGTTGCAAGGAACCACTTTTTTGTCTCAGCCACCCAGAACCGAAATAATCACACAAAATCTGTATTAATTAAATCACTGCTTGGGCCATTAGCTCTAGAGTTTTATTGGCTAATTCTTACATCTTAATTTAACCCATTTCTATTAACCTGTATATCACCTCATGGTCGGGGTGTACCACCAAAGTTCCAGCACATCTGACTCTGGTGACAACTCCATAATGTCTCCTGACTCCACCTTTCCTTCTCCCAGCATTCAGTCCATCCTTCCTGCCTACCTAAGTTCTGCCCTATCAACAGGCCAAGGCAGTTTCTTTATTTATTGATGGTAATCACAGCACACAGAGCGGACTCTGACATCACCCATTCCCACTCCCTCTCCTCCTCCCATCCGGATCACTGTTCCCCCAACCCACCTCCCAATTAACTTCTCAGAAAAAGTAAGGCTTCCCATGGGGAGTCAACAAATGTCTGACACTTCACTTTGAGGCAAGACCTATGCCCTCCCTCCTATATCTAGGCTGATCAAAAGGTATCCTGCCATAAAGAATGTGCTCCTAGACAACAATCCAAATACTAGGGAGAGATAAATCCTGGTTACACTGCCAGGGGTCCCACAGACTGACCAAGTCTCAAAACTGTCACTGGGCCTAGTGTGGACCTACGCAGCTTCCCCTCCCATCAGTTCAGTGTCAGTAAGCTCTCACTAGCTCAGGTCTGTTGTTTTTGTGGGTATCACCTTGATGGTCTTGACTCCTTTACTCATATTATTGCTCCTCCCTCTCTTGGACTGGTCTCTGGTAGCTTGGCCCACTGCTTCACTGTAGATCTCTGAATCTGCTTTTATCAGAAGGTTCTATAATGACAATTAAGGTAGTCATCAATCTGTTTACAGAGGAAAGCCAGTTTAGGTTTCCTCTCCACTTTTGCTTAGAGTCTTAGCTGGGGTCATCTTTGTTTATTCCTGGGAATGTCCCTAGTGCCATGTTTCCTGCTAGCCATCCCTCAATTAAGATATCTCTTTCCTTTCTCTCCCTCAATATACTTTTCCCTTCTTGAGCACCCTGTTCCTTCATGCTCTCTTCCTCCCTCCCTTTATCCCTATCCCCTGCCTTCCCACCCTCCCTTAACCCCCCAAAAAATTTTTAAGGAGATTTTTCTGTTTGTCCTTCCCAGGGGGAACGATGTATGTCTCTCTTAGGGTTCTCCTTGTTGCCTAGCTTCACTGGGGTCATGGACTGCTTATGCTTTGCTTTACGTCTAATGTCCACTTATGAGTAAGTACACTAAATAATCATGAATTGTATATTTGCTTTTGGAGGAGGTTTAGTGGTTAAAATTCACTTGCCCAGAAAACTTGAGAGCTGTTATTTTAATTAATTCCAGCAGAATTCAGGAGAATGTAATGTTGGATGTGCTGACCTGATGATCCCAGCAGCAAGCTGTCTAGCTATACTTGTCAGACTGGGTAACTCTTGGGTTTCCATTGGAAGAAACTTCCCACAAAGAATAAGGAGGAAAACAGATATCAGCCTGGGGCTTTCAACTCAATGTGTACAAGTATTTGCATTCATCAATACATACATGAGACTACGTATTCAATATGCATAAATATACTATATTATATACAGAAAAGGGATATCATGTTTACATATATGTATGATACACACAGACATGAATATATGTATCTATTGTACCTCCATGAATTGAGCCAAAGATAGAACATGTTTTAAACATTTACATCTTTATTAGCTATATGCAGATTTTTCTTATAATTCGTGAAGCACTAAAGTGCAAGATTTTATTACATGTAATATAGAGATGAGTTAAATTATGTGTGAGAATAAGCTGCAGTCATTTGTATTTGTCAACCTTGTATAAGTTGCTAGAACATTCACAAATTTGGGTATCTGTCTAGGGTGTTAGAACCAATCATACATAGATATCAAGTGAAAATTACATAGGCAGGTGTGCATTGGTATGCTGTATATATCCTTTTTATTTTCCCCAGTGTTTTTTTGTAAGTAATTTCCCTATAATTATTACAGTTTGGAAATACTGATGCTACCTTTTCTGCTTCCACATTTGCATCTAAGATGACAAGTTTGCAACATGGCATATAGATGCGTGTATTTTAGTCCATGATGTTAAATTCATATCTAGGATGCTCTAAGCCATATGCTTTCTGACCTAGTTGGCAAATTTAATTGTAGTTCTGAAAGTTTCTGTCAGTCCTGTAATTTTTATGGTTTATTTTTGTAATAATAGATTCTAGGCTGAGGATGCAGCTCAGACAGTAGCGTGTTTGCCTAGTAAAAAAAAAAAAGCACCATTGGTTTCAACTCAATATTCCATAACATCAACACTGTGAACTGACCTGAAACCCTAGCATGTCATTGTTTGAGCCAAAAGATTTGGCAACTTACTGCTCACCTTTGGCTTCACAGTGCTTTCAAGCCAATCATGAGTCATATAAGGAATATTCACAATCACACCATAAAGATTCTCTGTCAGACATTGTAGCCCATGCCTGTAATCTCAATATTATGAAGCAGAGTCAATAAGATGAAAAATTTGAGATGATATTTGGCTAGATACTGAGTTTGTGTTTAGCTTGAACTAGGCATCCACGTGCTCCAAATGAATGAATAAACAAATGCATAAAAGAATCTCATGTGTTCTGCTTCCACATCTTTTGACTTAGTGATTTAATTTTTTTTGATCAAAGTTTGCCTCTAAGTGCCAAGAAAGCAAATAAAAGAAAGAAAGAGAGAGAGGGAGGGGTAAGAGAGAGAGGAGAGGAGGAGGAGGAAGGAGGAGGGAGGAAGAAAGGAAGGAAGGAAGGCAGGAAGAAAGAAAGAAGATGAAAGAAAAAAGATAAAGAAAGAAAGAAAGAAAGAAAGAAAGAAAGAAAGAAAGAAAGAAAGAAAGGAAGGAAGGAAGGAAGGAAGGAAGGAAGGAAGGAAGGAAGGAAGGAAGGAAGGAAGAAAGAAAGAAAGAAAGAAAGAAAGAAAGAAAGAAAGAAAGAAAGGAAGGAAGGAAGGAAGGAAGGAAGGAAGGAAGGAAGGAAGGAAGGAAGGAAGGAAGAAAGAAAGAAAGAAAGAAAGAAAGAAAGAAAGGCCTGCATAAAGTATATTTTCAGGCAAAAGAAATTAAAACACCAACTCCTTACACTCCTTCGTGGATTCCATGGATGAAGTAATTCCACCATTGTGGATTGTATAACATTTTGTTACAGGATTATATTACTCCAGGATGATACAGAATGAAAACTTTGCAGATGGTCTATGGCATGCTCTTTCATTCCTTATTTACTAAGCACTAGTTTATTACAGTTTAGGTTCTAAGCAACAGACTGAAGTCAGCTGTCTGAAGATGGAAAGTGCCAACATTGGTAAGGAAGTAATGGAAAGATCACTTACTTTATTTAATTAAGGATTCACCTAGTTTATGTAGGATGGAGATTACTCTGATCAGAGAATGCAAGCACTTTAGAATATTAAGTACTAATATTAAAATTGTAGAATAGACAGAGATGGTTGAAGGACGCAAACCAGAAATCAAGGCCTAGAAGTAGACTGTGAAAAACCAATACCTCTTTGAAGGAACTTATTCATGTCTCTGGTTTGTCTAGTGAGCTGTCTATCAAGACTAAATTATAAAAAATACAGATAAGAGATAAGGCAATGGTATTAGAAATGAAACTGATATTTGATATTTCTTTTTAATGAAATTAACAAATGTTAAATCCTGCTATGAAGAAATAATTATTTGTTCTTTTGTTTTAATATATATACATATATCATATTTAATATATATTATGTAACTGTATATGTAGTTTCCATTAATATGAGGATCTGTAGAATATAAAAACAAAATGAAAGCGGAATAAGATCAATAATTATGAATGGAAAAACCTTCAAATAACATAAGGCAGGAATGTGGGTTTGTAGTAGAGTACTTACCTAAAGTGAGTGAAGCTCTAGATTTGACATCCAACATCTAAAAACAAAACAAGAAGAAACAAATGGAGATTTCAAGGTTAGCATAATTATTTAGCACTAAATATTGTCTTTATGTAGATAGACATATGTAGACAAGGCTTGCATATTTCCAAATATATGATACTCATTTGACTTCTTACCTGTGCCAGTTGAAGTCACCCCTTTCTTTCCTATCTTCACTCCATTCCTCTTCCCTTCTTCTCTTGGGTATAGCTGATTGCAAGACTATTGATGTTTAATATTTAGCAACATTGGTAATGTCTCTCCTACTATAGGAAATGCTATAGGAAATGTTCAAGAAAGCTAAAACTTTCTTCCAGTTTTCTTTCTTCCAGTCCGGCACCCATTTCTAACATCTCCACAGTTATTGCACTAGGGTAAATTTGCATATAATACATATGGAAGTATATACTTTAGGAAAACATACTTGAACTTTTGCTTCAACATTTCATAATAAAAGTAAATACGGTTGGCACTCCCCATTTCCAGGTTCCATATCATAAGTTGCATTTCTTGATGACTGAATGAACAGATAAGCAAAAATGTTTCTGTGTCACCTGGTAATACTTTTTTGACATTATCTTCTAAAGCATACAGTTTAGTAACTAATTCATATCTGTCCTCTATTTACTACTGTAAGCGTATAGGAGGGCAAATGTTATAGTTAAGCTCTCTGTAATTACTGTGCCAGTTTATAGACAGTAACTGAACATAATCAGAGAACTTTAGTGTCCATGATGTTTCCCAGTCTTGGAACCCATCCTGCAATGGTTTCAAGAAAGACTGTGCATTTCAGAATTCTTCAGAAGTAATCCAATAATCAAAGTCCAATAATATTAATAAATATGACTTTTTAGGACATAATGGATATCAATTTGATTTCATACTTTCAAATAATGAATATTTCATATACTGGTAATTAAAATGAATACTATTCATTACTTTCTTCATAATTTATCAACACACCTTTTTCTGAAGAATCTCATCATAATATTTTAATACAACTCAAAAGAGAATTTAGACACTTTTTGGAAAACCAAGCCAAGGACTAAAGATCATAGCATCACATTCTTTAAGCACATGGATTATCTATGAAGCTGTATTTTTGTGACAGTGTGGTTATGGCTCCATTATTCATCCACACATAGTATACTTACTGCAGACTGTTCGCTACCTCAGCTGAATTTGACTCAGTCAAGATATTCAACCTCATGAGACCCATATTCTAAGTCTAGAGTAAAATCAGACATTTCATAGCAAATCTGTTATTGTTATAAATTGACGAATGACCCTTTAAAAAGTCTGGAGAATAATATATTTGTTATTATTGCCACATAGTACAAGGCAAACAAAATAATCAAGACCGTTGAAAGGTAGATACTAGGACAAGTGGAATATGCCAATAATTAAGAGATAAAGGCAGAAACTTTATGAATTCAATGCTGTTCAGACTCTATGTAAAATATTCTTTGACAAAAAAATGAAAGAAAGGAAGAGAGAGGGGAGAGAAAGAGAGAGAGAGAGAGAGAGAGAGAGAGAGAGAGAGAGAGAGAGAGAGAGAGAATTCATGGCTCATGTTTATCTACAACTGTTCCTGTGTATCAGAGTAGTTGGAGAGAAGAGACCACAAAGCACTTGCTGATGATTATGCATTATAAGTATGGGTTTGTGCAATTAGCTTTGCACAGCAAGCTCCAGACATCCTCCATGATCTCTGTCTTTGTTTCTGCTTTGTGAACTTTCACCCTGGCCTTTCATGCTCAACATACACTACTCTCTTTCTTAGTCTACATTTTGGAAATACTTCTTATCCAGGGATTTTCCTGTGTCTATTGATCTAGCAAGCATGATAGACTCAAGGTATACCCCAGGAGCTTGTTATGCTTGTATCCTAAGGTTATGGTCTATTATTCTTCATGCTTCTTAAGATTCTTAGGCATAGTTAATGGGCTGAGTTCCAGAGAAGACACACTCTTTGCAAAGGATCTGTTGTCATCATGTCCAATGCATCAGGCTTTGAAGACTGAGATTTTCTTATGGTGGGATCCAGTAATGCTGCATCATTTTCTTCTTTGAGTGTTCATCTCATTTGTTCTTATACCTGAACAATGACAATGACTAGCTTAAGTAAATGGGAACAGCTACTAGGCCATTGCTTGTGAATGCCACCCATCTTGGTACTTAATTCCAATCTTTTCATTCGAGGTCTCTCTTCACAGGTAACTACTAAGACAAGGTCCTAGGCTCTCCCAATGAAAATGATTTTTAACATTTTTTCATAGCAAAAGAATGTGTATTTATGTCTCAAAAATGCTTTGGACATTCCTTGTTTTTGCACTGACCTTGTTGGAGATATTCTTATGTAATTTCTTTCTCATTTATTCTAGGTATTTTCATCTATATCCATAGAAATTCTACCTTGTGATATCTACAACTATATATTAAGAAACTGACCATTATGAAAGTCAAAAAGAAAATTCAGTATAGTACTTGGGACCATCTTTCATTTTAAATGGACCTCTTTCATTAAATTTAATGTAGTTGATTGAATGACTTCATCTTCCTGGAATATTTTACCTTTTATTTCATAGCTTAACCTGTAACATTTTTATGTCTGTATTTATTTTCTCTTAATATTGATCATTTAAATTATGTAATTTGGAAGCTGGATGTAGCAAGTAGACAAGAGCTTATCTACTACACACAGAGCCTTGGGCAAGATCTGCAGCTCTACAAAAATTAATGAATTAATTAAATATGCAATTATATTGTAGCCACTGCATGTTTTGATAGATTGGGGTTATGAAATATCTCCCCAAAGTGAAATGCGCTTTAATTTGCAACTAAATCATTACATATTCCTCAAGATAATAAAAATATTTAACCTGAATAGGATTTGACTAATAATTTCAGAATTATTTTGTCTGTAAAAGCAACATCCAAAAGGTGCTTTGGTAGACATCCAGTGGGAAACTTGTGTGATGAACATTTTTAAATATTCTATTTTGGTAATTTGTTTTCTAAATTTTTATTCCCTGGGCTTCAACATTGAAAAAGGGTAATTATTCATTTATTTTGAGAAATAGCACTTTTTAAAATTAGAAATCAGGTGGCTCACTGACAAATTTCAGACAAACAAATAAATAAAATTATTTCCTTAGTTTAGTTCTTACAACACAGTTGTTTCTACCACCAGTCCTAAAATCTAAAGTCAGAGCAATAGTTAAAGATTACCAAGGATGTTAGGAAATGCTTTTCTTTTCTTCTTTTTCTTTGCTTTCTTTCTTTCTTTCTTTCTTTCTTTCTTTCTTTCTGTCTTTCTTTCTTTCCAACCTTCTTTTCTTCTTTCTTTCTTTCTTTCTTTTTTGAGTGGAGTAAAAAAGTAGTGTGGTTGTTATTTAAATTTTAGGTTAGTTTAATGAATCTGATAGCATAGGCTCTGTTAGAAACACAGGACTCCACGTAGGGAGAGAGATGGAGCTAAACAGGCAAGGTGGGTACTTCTCAAGAGGGTCATAAAAGCAGTTATCACTGAGTCTTAGAGATGGAATCAGAACTGTACTGGACAGGAGTGATGGTGAAGACTAAAAATTAGATTGTGGTCAACATAAGATGTACAAAGATCAAGGTGTCTGCACAAAGGAGTTTTATTTGTCCCAAAGAGATAAAGGTCAGGCAATAAGAGACAAAGACAAGAGATAAAGGACAAGAAGGAAGAGAAAAGAGGCACTGTTGAAATAGGAGTGGCGGGGCTGCATCCCCAGCACCCTGGCCACCTGCTAGCTTATGCCCGAAATAACAAGACACAAACAGTATTCATTTAAACACTGCTTGCCCATTATATCCAGCCTCTTCTCAGCTAACTCTCGCACCTGGACTAGCCCATTTCTAATAATCTGTGTAAGCACCCCAAGGTGCGCTTACCAGGAAGATTCTAGCCTACATCCATCCTGGGTTGGAGCTGCCTGGGAGAGCAGAGCCGTCTCTGCTCCAGAGAGCAGAGCTGTTGAATCTACCCGGGAGAGCTGAGCATGGGTCTCTGCTCCACAGAGCAGAGCTGTCGGGTCTGTCTGAGGATTCTTACCTCACTTCCTTTTCCTCCTGTTTACTCCTCCCACCTATGTTTTAACCTATCAGGGCAAGCAGTTTCTTTATTTAATTAACCAATGAAATCAACAGATTGATATATGACACTCCCACATCACAACTGCAAGAGGGAAACTGCATTTGCCCTAGAGGAACAGAGGACTGCCTTTGGATAGAGAGGAAAAAGACATGACCCATTGGCAAATGACAGTTTTTAAAGAAAAAGGGGTAACCTATTTTCAGAATGAGTTAATTAATTTTGATTCAGTATGTTAATTATGGCAGCCAAAAGGGGACCTTTGATTGTTGGACTTCAATACTTTGATAGCTGAAATTGGGTAGTCAGCTTTAGGGGGGAAGAAGTGGCCAAATAAGGGAAAAAGACCTTAGTATCTCGCTTTAAGAATGTAATCTGGTGTGTTTTTATTTGTTTGTTTGTTTGATTTTTAACAAAGATGAAGGAATGGGATTAGGGGAAGCCCTACCAGAGCCATGCTTGTCTTTCTCAGGCTTGCTGGCATCCCTTCAGAAAATGGAATCACCTAGAGTATAATAAAATTGATTTCTGAGGGAGGATTGAGTATGAGGATGGAGTGGGAAATTGACCAAGGAAACATTGTGAAAGCCTAGAACTACGTAATATATTTTAGTCAACATTAGATTAATATGATCTGATTTGAAAACTAAATGTTTTCTATCAATGTGATAGACATTTAGTATCTAGTCAATAAAAGAAGAAATGATTACTGGCAATTAAATTCTACTCTATGGAGAGTTTCCTTCAGGGCTTGTGTGTCTTTACTGACAACACTGTCATATTTATTGTGTCCCAATTAGTCATATTTATTGATATCATTGGGCTCTGAGTATTAGATTACTTCTGAAGAATTCTGAAACACCACAGTCCTTCTT